AAAAAAAAAAAAAAAAAAATCATGAAAAAAAAGAAGACTTTTAATTAACCTAATTAACTTGTAATAATATATAATATGTGAAATCGAGACGATATTTTCGTTATATAGTAATGCTGTTGTTAGACTGTCTACGTACCTAACTTCTGAACGGATTTACGTACTTTCGTACCCAATGTAAATAAAAATATAATGCATTCATAGTGTAAGTATGTATTTTTATTAAGATTGTATGACTGAATAATTTGTGTTTAATGTATATAATATGATTTGGATTTTCTTTTAACTAACTTGGTTTGTTTTCTAACTTGTTTATGGATTTTGGTTAATGTTTGTGTTTATCCTTAATTATTTCTAAATTTTGTCTTTTTTTTTCATGTTTCTTGATAATTAAAATGTGGATAATATGTATGGGATGGAACTTATCTTTCACTAATGCAAAAAAAAGATTCCATTTTGTCCTATAAATTAAATATTTTTTGAAATGGGATTTATATTATAGATATGAGAACATGATTACTGATGAAGGCATGCGTATTATTGTACTATTTGTCTCGTAATTAATTATGCTTAAACAAATTCAGCTGCAGCGGCGCTGAAAATTGCAATACCAACCCTCATCTACATTTTTTTTTTCCAACATACTTAAAGATGAATGAAAAGAAATAGAAATTCGTTACGTACGTTAACAAGACCGACCGAATCGAGCACTTAATTAGCTCGTTCGAATGGAAAAGAAAAATAGTAATCCATCTGATACCAAGTCCATTTACTAATTAAGAGATAATAATTGTATTGTGTGCTACACATTTTCAAGAAGCATTAAAATACATTTAACAAAAATAAGAAAAAGATAATCTAACAACCAATTTGGAGTTGTTGACACCAAAAAAAAATAAAAAAATGTAACAGTACTATGTGCTAACAGAAAGGTTCCACACATAATATATGCATGCATGGTTTTAGTTAGAAAGTGACCAAAAATATGAAATATTATACATTATATTATACACATATATATAACTCATTTTTTTTTTTTTTAATTTTATTGTATAATTTTGATATTAAATGTGCAGATAGCAGCATCAAAGGTGTTAAGAGAGACATGCAATTACATCAAGAATCTGCACAAAGAGGTTGATGATTTAAGTGAGAGGTTGTCTGAGCTTCTTGCTAATGGGGAAATAACCAATGCTGATGCTGATTTTATAAGGAGGCTTCTCAAACAGTGATATTTTATCAGGCCAAGCCCAAATGGAAACAAAAACTAAATAAAAATAATATTTAATAATGAATAATGTTACTTGGGTACTGTAGCATTCATGTTTGATCAATATTGTATGGCTTGATGATGCCTGTATTTAAGGGTACTATTTATATATGTATATGATGTGATCAGTTAGTTGGAGACTGAGTACTGTGTGTACTGTGTGAGTAATTAATGGATGTATTTATAGTTTAATTAATTATTAATATGAATATGATATGATGATGTTGTATCTTTAGATTTCTTTCTCATGTTCATTTTTCCTAGTCAACTAGTTTTAACCCGGCATTTGCACGAGAAGCGATATAATAGAGGAGAAAGTAATGAAAAATACAGAGAAAAATAATAATCGTAACGTAATCAATGAGGAGAAAAAATAATAATGATTTAAGAAAGTGAATTTGAATATTATGATAAACTTCTTCATATACGATATTCGTGGTTTTCCTATCGTCAAAATCCTCATCACCACAAATCATTAACTTCAAACTCCTCCGACTCGTGACTCTAAAAAAGTGCCACGTACAACTGTCCATGACTGAATACAGCGCTCTTCAGTAGTAAGCCGACATGCGATAGAGACTGACATTGACTCTTATTGATTGTTATAGCATATGAAACCATAAGTGGAAACTGCCTATGTTGAAATTTGAACGGTGCCCTCAAGTCAGATGGTATTATTGTGAGCATAGGAATAAGAATATTATCACTAGTTCTGTCATCAGTTAAAATTCTGCATTTGAGGACACGACCGTTGAGCTTAGTAATAACAAAACGTGTACCGTTGCACAACCTCATG